CTATTCTTGTCATCAATATTTTGCAAGTTGTTATTTTGGAATGGGCTTTTGTCTGTTTATTAAGTCAGGATTAATATTAGTTGAGGCACTTTCTTTGCTATATGACAGATTTTTGTGGTGAGTTTATTGCCAGATATTGCTTGTTAAATGTGGTTGCTTGTTTCAGTTTTCTTTTCAAACTTCTGTTTCCTATATTGGTTGCGTTAGAAGTAGTCTATGGCTTGCAAAATGCTTGTTTCGACTAAGACCCAAAGATGACATAGGACATTGTGCTTGACCAATTTACTCTAACCCCCAGAAAAACAATGTCATTTTCATTGTAAGAATTGAAAAGTGTTAATGTTGCAGACTACATATTATAATTTAAAAGTGTGAATCATACGATGAAGAGAGAATAGATTAACGTTCGTGTAAAATATTAAGGTTTGGGTATGTTTAGGCTTGGCTCCCCGCCGTTAGCTTAAACATGGCCTTTAAATTATGCTTGTATTTGCTTTCCTTGTTAATACCATCGTGCTGATGTCGTTAAAGTCTCTTCCCTTGGATCAACGATATAACGACAGCCATGGCACCTTGTGGATTGCGGCTTGCGTCCATCATAACTGCTGAGCCGTTAGAATCTTTGCTTAAGCATCAATGAATCATGCTGGGGTCTGGTTCATGGAAAAAGTTGCATCATTCCAGCAGAAACTGAATAGGAAGATTTGAATTTAGAGTAGAGATCAATTAAGCAGCTGTTTAAAAGATAATGGGCTATATAATTCATTTGCATTGTTTGTTGAATAAATCCAGTTGAAAGTAATTGGTTAACGTTGATCCACCTATCTGAAGTGCCATAAAGATGAACTCAAGTATGAAATAAAATGCTCCCACCCTGCTTTCATGCTTGATGCTACCAAATCAAAATTGGCTAATTGGATTAATTAAGATTCTTTGCCATAATACTTGGCAGCAAGGTCAGTCAACTGACTCAACTCAGTGGTATGAATAGGCTTCTCAAGTTTTTTCAATAAGTTGCACGTTACGGAATTCCCATGTCTCCTTTCTTCTGGTTAACTCGAAAGGGCCCGGAGAATTGCAGGGAGAAAGATAGGAGCTGGCTGGACAAGCCACCGGTTTTCAGTCACTACCATTCCATTCAAACTGGATATATATGCAGCACAAGCATGTATTAGAAGAATGCTTTGGTTGATTACTTATGCTATCATATATTAGAATAATGCTTTGGTTGATTATTTATAACAGTTTAAATATTAAACATACCTATTAACAATATTCAGCATGTTAGGCCATTCAGCAAGGTCGAAATGCACATTGATGTTGCCCTTAGCTCTTTCTGCCATATACTTGACTTGTCCAAAAGAATTGCATATTTTCCAGACTTTGCTTTTAAGCTTAACGTTTGACATCCTTATTACTGTTGTCCTTGGTGCATCAATCCTGAGGATTGGCAGCTCCTTTCCTGAGACAAGTATGGAATGTTCTGCAAGTGCCCTCTCTTTGGCATCTTCTGTCTGGCAAGTGAGACTTCATAAATAGGTATTTAAACACAAAAATGAAGATGCACAAACCCTTAACAGAATCTGAAGATACACCACAATTCCTAGACACCAACAGCAAAGGGACAAGCGTTTCACCTCAAACTCCACGTATAAAACAGAACTTGTGGAACCCAAGTAAAAGCTGGAGATACCAGGTTGACAGAAAGCAAGAGCTTCCTTTAGCTGTTGTGAGCTTATATCCTCAGACAGTTGTTTGACTTTTAACTGTTTTGGTAGGATTCTTCACTAGTGCAACTGGAGCATCAGGAATGAAAATTGTACCATCCATGTCTTCTGAAGAAGATGCCTCCACAAAGGCTTCTGCATTCAGAACCATTAGTTCAGTTTTCTTAAGAGCATTTTGGTAACCTTCCCTTGTCTGCAATAAAGCCAGAATAGATAGTTCAGATTCTAAATGGAAAAAATTGAATGCTTCATAAAGTAAAAAGTTCTATATATCCGTCATCTGGCTCACCACTACTAGTTAGGGATTAGACCTTGGTTCAGTTTAGCTCTTGCATTTTTCCTGATGCCCAGGACATTTGTATTGATAAATATGATAAAAAAGAAAGTAAAGTGAAAGAAAGGCACTTAGAACCTTTACAAATTTTTTTTTCCTCTTGTAGGGGGAGCAAGGAATTTCTGAATAAAATCAAAGAACTGACCTCAAAATGCACCATAAAATCTTTGAACATGCTCTGTTTAGTAAAAGAAACTGCCTCTACATTCACAATTGGCCAGCAATCACAGAAAGCTGTAAGGATACTGTGCTTCCTAATATTTTGGGTTAAAAATCTGACCATTACTTTGTTTTCCTTAGATCCTTCTTTGGTGAAATACCTAGGTGAACTGCTATTAAGCTCTTCTCTGCTAATTGAAGGAGGCACGGGATAGTTTGGTCCTGATTTTACATGATCAGAGTTGGATAAATTTAAACTGCTACCTCTTCCCTCTCACTTATGGACTCTGTAGGAATACGTGACTCTTCTTTCTTGTCAAGTGATATTTTAGTTTCACTGCTCATATGATGTTGTTTCAAAGATGTCTTTCTTCTTTCAACATCAAACTTCTGCAAGTTAGCCTGGTTCTGGACATTTTTAAGGAACTCTTCATTGCTGAGTTGATCTGTTACATACGAGATAGTACTTTCCCTTGCCTTAATAGTTGACTGGTCTCCAAATACCCCCTTGATCCTTTCAATTAAGCCCTGGATTTCTAGTTCTTTCTCTAGTTCCTTCCCTGTTGAAAATTCAGTTTGTGCTAGAGTATCATGCAACTTACCAGCCATTTCTCCTGACATTAGATTATTCAAGACATTCATCTTGGCACTTAAAGAACCAGAAGCCGTACGCTTTTCGCCTGAATTAGTGCTTACATTTGGCCTTTGAACAAAAGTTGCAGTTCTCTTCCCAAGTAGATGGTTCATATTTTCAAATGAGGATGAGTCATTTATACCATCAGACAATGTTTTATGTTTTTCATTAGTCAGCTCTAGTGTCAAGTCATATAAATCCTTAGCACATTGACTCTGTTCCTTGTCACACTCAACAAGTACATCTGGCATTGCCTCTTCAAATTGCTTGACCTCACTTTTCAGCTTTTCATCAAAATTATCTGAAAGCTTTCCTGATTGATCAATCTTCACAGAAGAGTCTTCCACCATTGCATCAGAGGCTAAACTTCTTCATTTATTGCTTTCATTGCCATGAGAAACCATTACAGCTTCTCAAGACTGAGCTATACTTTGAATGCCATTAAGTCCAGCATCATCAGAATTGTTATGCATTTTTCTAACCTCAGAAGTTGCGATTATAACTGCTCCCTCAAAAGCATTTTTCCCAACTGCATTGGTTGTCGAACAGGTGCCACCAGGATAAGTCATTGTGCCTTCCGGCAACTGAAGCACATTTTGCGACTCAAGAAATTTAGTGTCATGTGGACTATGTGTCATAGTAAATTTCAGAAGCTGTCATGTCAATGTCGGAATCTGATGTTTCCCTCACAAATCACAATGGGTTCCTGAAATTGAGAACTTCCAAGGATCGTTTGCTTTATGTTTGTTAGAATTCCTTTCGACCATGACGTTCTCTCTCTGCATAGAGCAGTTGTAGAACAAAATGGCATCAGTGACCACTTAAACAAGCCATATCAACTGATTGTAAACACGATTTCATTCACTAAGCTGAAAAAGAGTTACTTACAATGCACACAGAAAAAAAAAAAAACAATAAACAGACAACAAGAAGGGTACATATAGGGGCATCCTCTACCCCCCGGTCCTTTCTTCTTCCACTGCCACTGGGCCTGTGGGTGGAGAAAGCTATCAATGCCGTTGCTCTTGGCCAGTAACATACTGAACCAGATTATCAAAGTAACAGTTCATTCATCAATACTTCAATTAAAAGAATTCTATCAGTACATCACCCAAAAGAAAGAAAAAACAGAAAAGCTCACTTCTTTGATTCTTTATCAACTGCCGTGCCCTCCTTTGCTGGCTTTAATCCTTTCAAAAAAGAAGATTTCTTAGACCCACTACGGGAAGAAGAAGAAGAAGAAAAAGAACACCATTTTGTTGATTGTGTAAGCCCTGGAATAATTTATCACCGGTTCCTAGCTGTTAGTGAAAACCCAGAAAATGTTTGACAAAACTACTATTAAAAAGAAAAA